ACTATGCATGTATGCTAGGAGTAAGGTGAGGTTATTTAGGTTTTGGGTGTTGGCTGGTTGGGGAGTTTGGTTTGTTTTAGTTGGAGTAGTGTCTATTGTTTCCTCAGTAATGGAGAAATCTTCGTCATCGGTTAGATTAGGTTTAGCTGATTGAGTTTCCATGGGGGAGGCATGTGATGTGGAGGATTGTGAAGGTGTTTGTGGGATGGGTGTAGCTTATGATTTCTTAGTGTTTGTGTTTTGTTGTTGTGCTTGCTTGTGGGAGAGTGTTGTTACCATATGGGCTGTAGGGTGCTTGGATGAGGGTCGTGTTGTGGTGGTCATTTTGAGGTTTGTTTTGCACGCGGGGGTTGATGTTTTGGCTATGTGAGATGTGGGAGGGTTCGTGGTTGGTTGAGTGGCTGCTTGTGTGTGTGAGGTGGGTACGGTTTCTCGGTAGGGGGCCCAGACAGAGCTGTCGGTTATGGGTGTGGTGTTTGTTTGTGGGATGGTGTTTGGGTGTGGTGTAGGGAGGAGTGGTTTAGATGCAGGTGTAGCAAATTTTCGTGTTTGGATTTTAGCCGTGTCTATGTTTATGTGTTTGTTGGCCTGCTGGGTGAGTGTGTGTCTGTATGGGCATTGGTTTGAAAGTGAAGTGTGTTGGGTGGATTTGCAGTGGATGCACCAGGGTGTGCATGTGCCTGGGCAGTCTGTTTGTGCGCATTTTTTACATTTAGTTTTACGGTATGTGCATTGGGAGGCAGTGTGGTTGTATTTGAGGCACTTTGTACATTGCTTAACCTGCTTTATATAGGGTTTGACTTCTAAGTTGGTGTGGGCTCCGAAGGATATGTGTTTGGGGGCTTCAGGGAATTTAGCGGTCTTTTTGAAGTTGATTATGACAATGGAGGTTGGGACCGTTTTTCCGTTTCTAGTTGAGGTTATTCTACGCGTGCTGGTGATTAGGGGTTGAGGGTTTTGGTCTTGGTTTATGTTAGCTTCTAGAGAGTATAATTGTAAGTCCTCATTTGTTTCCCTTGGGTTAACCCTAATTACGCCTCGTGTATATTGTTGCCAATTAGGTGTTTGTTTGATTACCGTGACGTGGAATATTTGAGTTATTTTATTTGCTGCGTTGTAAGATTCTCGGTTAGGGAAGATTATCTGGTATCCTTTGTTGGCTTTTTTAATATTGTTGTAATTTATTTTTTCTCTTTTAAACCAAAGTCCTATTTTATCTGCCGGAATGTTAGTCAGTTTCAAGTATCTATATACTAAACCTAGCCATCTCATGCTCAACTGTAAATCGCCTCATCTCAGTTTCTCAGTGTAATAATTGTTTCTTCCTATTGTTATTTTTGTAATTTCTAAAAATTGTCTTCTCATCATACAGGCATCTTTCATTACACTTACATTAATTCTTCTTTTTTTTAAACTTTCCTTTAAGTCCCCTAATCCCCTATAGCTCTACCCCTTTCATTTCTACTACCTCTACTCCAGACCTTAATCTCTCCTTTAGGTGAGTTCATAATGCCAGACAGGTAAATGCCGCGTGTTGTTTTAACTAATTGTTGGGGAACTGGGTTGTAGGGGAAATGGGATGTAGGGGTTTTGGGAGATAACCCGTGCACCACGTGAACAATGGCTGACGGCCGAGCGTGCGACGAACCGTAGCCTTTACTATAACGAGGTAACTGCCGATACTTACTTCAAGATAATGATGATTAAACATTTTAACACTAATCAAAAACTGCTGTCGTTTACCAATTATAAGTAAATAACTTATAACATGAGAAACAGTTTATAAAAGAAATGCTGGATATTGTATTGTAACTCTTATCTACGAGACTGCCACTGAATTGCCTGTATCTTTATAGATTATTCTACGATATAAAACACAAAATCTACCGGCGCTTCACGCTAGTGCGGATGCACTTATGTGATAAATATTAAAAAAAGACATTGCCGAGTCTGTGCGTATTTAGCTACAGAAACAGTGTTACTTTTCGTGTATTGTGTTCTAGACATATACGGTCACAGACTGGTTATCTTTAAATACATACATTTAGCTGCCGATGCTATGCTACTCATTATATTGAAACATGAGATGTTTCCGTGAAAATACAAACAGTGACGAATAACATGGCCAAAATGCAGATAATAGAACACGTTGACCACCAAGTCACTTAATACAGAAACGTTATACACGTTGAACATAATGTTTAATAAGCATCCACGACTTCCATAACTAAAATGGCGTAATATTTTAGATTGATACTTAAACGACTAGAATACAAACGCTAGTATTTTATCCGGGACGCTCTATTATTCTCTATTATTCAGTATAGTATTTGATATCTAGTTGAACTGCATGAAATTAACATATAGCAGCCAAATCGTAGATTTCGAACAATACTTTTTGATTAACTGTAACATAAGTTCATTGTACCAGCAGAGTAACAAAGTTAGAATTATTTACAGCACGTTTAACAAAAATGGCAAAGTAATAAGTAAAAGTAACTTACCTTCAAAAACAGACAGAGAGGTTCCCAGGCGAAATGCAGAAATGACTCTGTGCCAAGATTTATACTCGAGACCTCCAGTCCACGTTTGAAAGCATGTCACTACCCATCTGTCCAGTTTGGAATTGATAACAATGGTGTCTCACATGGTGGTCAAATTATACAAGTTTCGATGTGCTGACTTGCTAAGTTAATTGTTTATAGGCTGGTCGGCTGTGTCTGAATCTGGTCAGTCGGGTCTAGAATTTCAATAGCGCTAGCTAATTAGCAACTGCCAGCTCGTTTGACAGCTTGCATCTCCAAGCGTAACGTATTATGATAGACATCCTGTAAACTATGTAGCGTTTACTGGCTTGGGAATGTGAAACTTAAAGTGGTGGAATATATTTTATTTTGATAAAACTTGAAGAAAATTATAATGATTTTCGCACTGGGAATGTGAAACTTAAAGTAGTAGAATATATTTGATTTTGATAAAACTTGGAGAAAAATATAATGATTTTCGCACTGTTATAGTACCCCTGGACGTCGTGGAGCTTTTGACCACAAAAGCCTATTAATATTTTTGTTTTACAGGTGTTGACGTAAACATAATTCAATTGTATACAAAAATACATAAAACATTTTAAAGTAACACAGCAAAAATATGCGAACATGACAAAAGATATGCACTGCTTAGACAGCCCACTTAAAACACCTTTAACATACAAGAGGGATCTAAAACTTGGTATCTACCATCATGAACCATAAGAATGTAGGAAGCGAGAGGTTGATTGAACATTTTTGTTTGCGGGCAGTAAAGAAAGAGACTCGAAGCGTGTTCGGGACCGAGAGAGACGTTTTGGTTTGGAGGTTAGTCACAGTAAAGCCGGGCCATTCAACAGTAAGGGTGGGAAAGAAATATCCAGATTCGGAGCTGTTCCACTGTGTATGGGGGTTGAATATTCCAGTAGGAAGGACAGAGACTGAAAGCCAGAATAGGAACAGAGACACATTCTGGACCAGTGGTGAGTTCAAGAACGAGACAATTGTGAGTCCTAAGATTGCGTTCATAGATGAGAAGGAGAAGAATAGAAGCCACAGCAAGTGTGATCACTCCTAGAAGGATTGACACATGATAGTCGACAAGATCAGACACAACGAAGCTGGGACTAGAAGTGGTTTGTGAATAAATTATTATAATTTAGTACTGGAGGCTGTACTGCTTTAACTGGCGCCACACGAGTAACCAGCAATAGTGCAGCAGAGAGTGCACGAACTTTGAAAAACATCCAAACAACTAAAATAATTGAAAGAACTGACATAGCCGAAGCGGTGATGACTATAATTGCATTTGTATCAGGCCAAGAACTTGGTAAAGTGATTTGACCATCAAGCAATGGTTCCATAATAGACTGAAATATGGTTTGATCTTTTCTTGCCCTTTCAGCGACACGTTTAAGACTGAGATGGGACTTTTGATCATTGGCCAAAACATTGGAAATGTCATGAGAAAATATATTAAATTTTGGAATGGTGAAGTTAACTGCTTTTCTGAAAGTTGTATGACCAGCAATATTAGAGAAGGTAGAATCCTCAAGAAGTGTTGAAGAAGAGCAAGGTTGACAGGTTGACAGGGTGAAGGTGTGAGATCTGGTGTTGTGAAGTGCGACAAGAAGCAAAGAGTGCAGGATAATACAGATCTTCAGTGGACAAAGAACAGTAACATGGAGTAGCAATAAGACAGAAGTTACAACCGGGGATCATACGATGAGTACCAGGACAGATGAGAGAACATGTTCTATATACGAGAACATTTGAGGTAACAATAGAGATAAGCTGAGGTGGCTGAGGTTTGGTGACATATCGAAAATCACAAAGATTTTTGATCAGACTCTTACTGCAGTGATCCCTCGCTACAACGCTACCAATGGGGTCCTAATAATTGGTGGGCGCTATAGACGATGAGCTGTTTAACCGAGGCCGAGGCGGGGGAGCGCGCTCGGCCAATCTCACGATCTTCGCCTTGTATCGCACATTGCAATGATACAGGTTGTTCATAGTGTAAAAATAAAGATATTCCCATTGTGTTTTCGTTGTTTGTTATTATTTACAAGCCTTAACTGTCACATTCAACGTGATATTAGCCTACTTACATGTAAATATCGATCGATAATGGTAGTAACAGACGCTATGAGTGAAGGGCCAATCACAATTCATTATACAAGCACGGAGTGTTTCAGTGGCGTTGAATGGTCAGGTTGCTTAAAATACGGAAAACGAGAGTTTTGACCAGCACTAGGATTTATTACATGTGCGCATTCACACAAATATATTAAATACATTTAAACAGAAATATATATATTATCAAAACAAAAATTAGATACACATTTATACAGAAATATATACATTTATATTGCATTTGATATACATTCATACAACAACATTAAATAGATAAGATAACATGTCAGGTTTGTACATTGTACATAATAACATATTGTCCGATCGAGTGGTTATCTCTCATTTAAAATAATTCGTTATGCATTGCTGTTTCTTTGACTTAACAACATCCCTCCTCATCATATCCAAGAGGAGTTTTGCGTGGAGCAAGGTCGTAGAATTGAACGAGCTATTGGGGTTCTGTTGGATATATTGTATCGAAACCTCCAAACAGGCTAACGCTTCTTCCGCTGTACGTCGGGGGACACCGGGAGGCGGCTGTAATGGTTCAGCATCTTCATCTTCATCATCATCATCATCGCTTCTTGATCGGGCGTCCTCGATCAGCTGGTCATCGGATTTGCTTTCTGAGGTCGGGAGGTCATTGTCGCATGCGACCCCGAGTTCAACCGAAGACAGATCGACATCGAGTGCTTCTTCGCCGGCATAGTCTTTGTACTTCGCAACAGCCTCGGTTATGTCCGTTTCTGTGAAACCCAGAAAATCTTCATCAAAGGCTTTGCCCAGTCCCTTTCTCCAGCAATTGTCAATGGTGCTTGTCGTAATCTGACTCCATGCGTAATGTGTTGTGAAGATTACGTCCTTCATGGTGACCGTCTTAATGTAGTCTGTTGGGGGCATGGCGGAATCCAGCAAATGGGTGATAAGTTTCCTCTTGCAGTGTGATTTAAATGCCTTTATTATACCTTGATCCAAGGGCTGTATTATTGACGTTGTGTTTTTCGGCAGGAGAACGGCCTTGATTTTGCCGTCGTGTGAAGACAACGTTGAGGCAGGGGGGTGGGCTGGGCAGTTATCCAAAAGCAGGATTGCTTTTTCTTTGAGTTTTTGTTGTCTCAGGTAATGACGTACCGCGGGGATGAAATTCTTAAAAAAACAGTCTTTGAAGATGTATGCCGTCATCCACGCATTCTTGGAACTTTGGTAGACCACTGGCAGCGTAGAGCGGTTCACGTGGTGGAGGGCGCGGGGGTTCTTCGATGTTCCTATAACAGGTGGCTTCAACTTATGGCGTCCGGTCTTGTTACAAGCAAGCAGCACTGTAACACGTTGCTTGGCCTTCTTGAACCCTGTCTTCTGCCTGGGGTCATTTTTCTCGGCGAGAGTCTTGTCTGGGAGCATCCGATAGTACAGGCCGGTCTCATCTGCGTTGTAAATCTGCAGGCCTTCCGTGTCAATGATGTCTCGTAGTATCGTTGGATATGCCGCAGCAGATTCAACATTGGCAGATTTAGATTCCCCGCTGACGGTGATGGACTTGATCCCGTGACGTCGCTGGAACCTCCACAACCAGCCATCACTTGCCTTGAAGGTGTCGTCGTCCCTGTTTATCTGCCTCGACATCTTCTGGGCCTGGACCTTAAGTATTTCACCCGAAAGGGGAATACCATCGTGTCTGGATTGCGTGAACCACTCGAATAAGGCCTTGTCCAGAGTGGTGTCGTCGGCTCCACGGATCCTCTTCGTCTGCGGTCCTTTGCTGTCGTGGCATTCGGCGGCGGCTGACTGAAGTTTTTCTTCATTCTTTATCCACCCCCTGATGGTCCCTGCTGGAACGCCGGACTGGCGGCTCACGCTGGCCTGTGAAGCGCCATCTCTAACTTTCTTCACAACGTCTAGCTTTTCTTGCACTGTGTACGCTTTCCTCATGTTGAAATTGGAATGCCCCTGATCTTACTTACTTACTTACTTACTTTGGAGATTTAACGTGCGCTTTCCGACTGATGCGTATTTCGCACACGGGCCCGGCCAGGCCATTTAATGTGTTTCCGAAAGGGGCGAAAGTGGTCTGTGCAACCCAAGAGGGGGTATAGAATTTGGGAATTTTGAGATTTGGAATAGATGCCGATGGGATTGGGGAGGAGAACTAAGGGAGCTGGGTATGGTGGATGTTTGTTTGTTTATGTGATTTTGATTTGGTAGGTTATTGTGTTTTTAGATGCGTTTTAGTAGTTCCGTTTTTATTAAGAATACGCCTAAGGCCTTGAAGTTTTCTAGTTTATTTTGTGGGTTTAGTATTGCTTCTAGAGTTAGAGCCTTGTTTAGATTGAGGGTGGTTTGTAATGCGGTTCGATGTGTTAGGTAGTGTGTGCAGTGGATGAGTGCGTGTTCTGGGGTTTCTGGTTGTTTGCAGTGTGGGCAGTTACCTGTAGTGTGTTTTTTAATTTTTTTTAGGTGGTTATTTAGGTTGGTGTGTCCTGTTTGGAGTTTAGTGATTACTCTGTCGATTTTTTTGGATGGATGGAGAATTTTTGGTTTGGTAAGTGGTTTGCTGAGCACTTTTTTGATTTGGCTATTTGAGTTTAGATATAGGTTATACCATTTGTTTGTGATTTTTTGCTTGTTTACACTTTTAATTTCTGATTTTGAGATGGGTAAGTTTAAGCTTATTTCTGGGATTTTGAGGGATAGTTTAGCTGCTTTATCGGCGTTTTCATTACCGTATATTCCTACGTAGGCGGGTATCCACAAGAAGGTTATTTGTTTGCCTGCCTTAGTTAGGTCGTTGGAGCTTTTAAGTATTTGATTTATTAATTTAGGTCGGTTTTTGGTATTTTTGTTTTGGAGGGCTTGCAGTCCACTTAGGGAGTCGGTAAGTATTAGGATTTTTTTGTGTTTTTTTTATTCTTGATTATGGAGGGCTGAGGCCATGCCCATTAGTTCTGCCGTGAATATTGATTGGTTGTTTGGGAGTCGGAAGGATTGTGTGGTTTTAGTTGGTTGTCTGGTATGGACTCCGAAACCTGTGTGTTTGGAGGTCGGATCTGAGGATCCGTCCGTGTAAATGTGACACCAATTTGGCCAATTTTCGTGTATGTATGCTAGTGTGGTAGTTTTAGCTATGTTCGGGTCGGTTTGTTTATTTATTTGGCTAGCTAGTGTTGTGTCTATTTTGGGTATTCTAAGTTTAGGGGTGAAGATATTTGATTGTTTGCAGTTTTGTTTAAGATTTTTAATTTGGTGTTCATTTAGGTAGTTTGTTATTCTTTGGGATATTGGGGTAAGTAAGGAGTGTTTACGAGCTAGAGCTTGGTTTTTGGGGCTGATGTTTTGGTTTATTAAGTTTTCGATGAGAGGGCCCCTGATCTGATAAATTCACTTTATATACAGTAACGTATGTCAAGCCAGTTTAATTGGTTTGATACGGTTACTTGATCCGAATGACCGTCGTGTTGTGACAGTAACTAATGTGAGTTGACAGTGTCGCCTCAAATTGGATTGCCCACTAATTAACTTGTGATTTGTGTGAACTTCGCTTGTGGTTCTCTTTTATTGCATGCATGCGCTTCTAAGATCAAAGGATGTATAGTGTGAAAAGTTAACTAGTAGAACAATCGTATTTCCGGGACCTGCCGCGGATGTTTTCAAACAGATTATTAGAACTCCATTCAGCGATAAACCGTTGATTATGCAATGAGAAACGTTATGTGCAAATAAACAACGAACAACAATACATTCATGTCTGTGTCAAACTCTCAGTATTAAAAGTGTACATAAAATTTAGGAGCCATGCGATACCGCGCGTAGTAACCGAGGTAGCGCTTTATCGAAGAGCCCAATAGCGTGGGATCACTGTATTTTGAAAGAGTGCAAGGCTACATGATGGCTTGGGGGGAGGATTGTAGAGCTATTCTGATAGGACAGTGTATGACGAATTCATCGCCAGAGCAGGGCGCTAAGGTAGAACTGTCCATACCGAGGAAATGACGGGAAATTCAAGGACAGGGCAAAGTAAGGAGGAATATCAAGGAGTTGAGTCGAGTTGGATGATGTATTGTTCACAGGCACTGGGAGAGAAATAACCTTATACATTTGAAAAGGTTTAGGCAAGGATGATAAGGGAAATTTAACAGATACATAGACATGGGCCTTCGTACGGGCAAAGATGAATCTTGCTTGAGAATAATATGTTGGGTTGGTTTGGAGCAATCGAAAGTTTGGATACTTGTTAGATAAAATTGAGGCAATATGATGAATAGTTTGTTCCAGAATTTGTGGGGCAATTAGCAGAAGGGATAATTTATTTTTTAGCCAAGTCTAAAATGCCTAATTTAAACATTTCAAGTTGATGCTCCACAGTATTTGAATTTTGAATTTGGTCTATCAAACTTGAAGTAAGGGAAGCAAAAGTAGCTTGAATATTTCTAGCATTATTCTGGATCGCAGTGGCTGTGAACGTAAGGGCATTATGATTTGCCTTAACACCTTTTAGCGCATTCTTCAATCTATTGTCTACCAATTTCATAAATGAAGAGAGATTGGAAGAATGTTGTTTGAGGACATTGGTTAGGTTTATGTCCTGTTTTGTAAGGGCATTAATATGTTTGGCAAGCAGGTGAACGTCGTCAATGGTGGCTGTACCAAACAATGTTTTGGAAAGGGACCCTACAAAACTTAGAACTGCTCGTTTGGAGCGACTTGATGAAGGGACCTTAGATTCAGGGATGAGTTTAATGATTTGGTGCCTAGTTTCATTTAGCAGTGAAACACACCTGGTTTTGATGATATTAAGGTGCATTTGAATTTGGTGCAAGTTCCATTGCCTTGGTGGCATCCACTCATGGTGGGAATGCTTGGGACATGGGGAAGCTTGACCTCGTAGGTATGGACCCAGTATTCAGTTGCAAAGTGGACTTGTGTGGTTGGCTTAAAAACTATTCCATAGTTGAGTCTCTGAACAGGGCTGGTGCCGAGGAAAGGGCGGGCAAACAGAGCCATAAGCCACAGGATAATCAAGTTCAAGGATGAGCCTTTGATGAAATGAAAAGGGAGCCATTAGAAGAGTTGACCTGGTTGAGAAGAATGTTGTGGCCAACAACTCCAAAACAACCTAGCACTATGGGACACAGAAAACTTGGTAACTGCAAAGGGATGGTCACTCATATCTTATGGTCATGCAATTCACGTCACAAAAGATAGGGGGTAGCTTGATAACACCTATGCAAATGAATCATTGGAAGTACTTATGTCCGTGTTTGCACTTCTTACCAGACATTGTTCTAGACCTATGGAAGTGCTTGATCAGGGATGGATCAAGATTGGAGGCGGGCTCCCAGGTCGTATCTGAGTAGCCTTACCACTTGATTTGGTACTGTTTGGTACCGTTTGCCATTTTACATCTGATAATTTTGTCAACAGGATACGTTTGATTATCTTGAGATTTGTCATCCTGTCGGCAGGCAATGCATGGTGCAGAGCCTGTATCACTGATGTGTGGCTCTGGAAGAAGCACCTGTGTGTCTGAGGATGTGTCAGCATCAGCAGACGTGCTGGGAAGAGGAGAATGTGCTTCAGCAGAAGTGCTGGGACGAGGAGAATGTGTGTCCGCTCCAGCAGAAGTGCTGGGACGAGGAGAATGACGACCATGGTTGGGAGTGTGGAAGGCGGTCGTTGGTGTGCGAACATTGTGGGGCTTGAGGCGATTGGCATGGATAAGTGCCTTGTGCGTCTTGTTCGTTTGAATATGTCATAGCTTGAACGTATGTTTGGGACCAAGCTCAAGTATTGTGTAGGGACCTACTTATTTAACTGACAGTTTCGGGGACCTACCAGGGAGAGCATGGGAATTTTGCATCAGCACTATATCACCTACTGAGAATTTTGGATCTTTCGGATTTGAGGCCAGTGCACTCTTTGTTGATTTCTTGATGATTTCTCTTGTCCTGTGAATGGCCTCAGCCTGACATGTGGTGTGTCCATTGTATGAGATGGAAGTTCAGCTGCTGATGAAGAGGCTGTTGATGCAGATGAGGAGGATCGAGATGGCGCTGGTAAGGATGTTGTCCTGGACGTTGATGCTTTTGATGTTGATGCTGTTGATGACGTTGTTGCGGTGATGGTTAGGGAGGGGGAGGCTGGAAGGGGTGATTCCTGCGTCTTGAGCAAACTGGTTAAGTTCAACCTCGGCTCAGGCCGTCGAAGCTTCTGTTTGTAGTTGGAAGGCGTGGCACCGGTCATCTAGGATAAGCTCCACCAATTGAAACAGTCCGTTTTAAGGGACCGTTTATGCCTAGAATTGTTACTGGGAATTAATTCCGGGATCTCCACGCCTTCAAAAACAGACAGAGAGGTTCTCAGGCGAAATGCAGGAATCTTTATTATATATGACGTCAAAAGGCAACAACATACATTCAACAGCATCTCAGTATTCTATTTCATAGTTAAGACATCATGATGAGCAATTAACTGGTAAAGCATTAAGATATTGAAATCAATAGTTAAGAAATGATAATGAGTTACATAAGAGTGGACTCATTAAGATACCATGTTATAAACGCCATAGTCTCTTACAACATTGTGCTCAGTGAATGTCAATCATGTTCACAGCGTACATCCTTCATAAATTCAGTTAAAATATGGACATAAGGATGATCTTACTAGTCATACTATCTGCATATCACCAAATCAAAACACAAAACCATGGAAAAAACATTATTTTACCAGACTCACTCAGCTCCATACAACAAATTGCAAACAAACACTCCAAAACCGGTCCCGAATTAATAAACCAGATTGTAAACATTCATTCCACATTAAACACAGAAAACAAAACAATAACACTAGTGTGGGTACCCAGTCACTCAGGCATACCAGGCAATGAAATAGCAGATCAAACAGCAAAAACAGCAACAACCGAACCATCCCCTATG